AGTGACGGAGCTGGGCCCGGAGGAGGTTCGCTGGTTCTACAAGGAGGACAAGAAGACCTGGAAGCCCTTCATAGGCTACGACTCTCTGCGCATCGAGCTCGCCTTCCGGACCCTGCTGCAGACCACGGGCGCCCGTACCCGGGCGGAGGGCCGCGATGGAGACCCGGTGTGTGGCCCGGCCTCCAGCTCCGGGGAGGAAGACGACGAGGACCGCGCCTGCGGCTTCTGCCCGCGGGCAGCGGGGCCCGAGCCCGAGATGGAGGAGCTGGTGACCGTCGAGCCGGTGTGCGTGCGCGGAGGCCTCTACGAGGTGGACGTCACTCAAGGAGAGTGCTACCCGGTGTACTGGAACCGTAAGTGGCTGGCTAGGGGCGGGCCGGCTACTGCGCGCGCTGGACCGGGTTAAGGGCTCCGTTGCCCCGCGATATCTGCCTCCCTCTGGTCGGGTGAAGATGCAGATTGTGCGGGGTGCGTCGGCAGGTGAAGGGTAAAAGAGCAGATGGCAGCGCCCAAGCTGCCAAGGGGGTGGGGGGTCAGGAGGAGAGGATCCCGCCGGGGATGGCGCCTCCTGGGTGAGCCGAATGCTGCTGCCATCCTCTGGAGGGGATCCAGCAGCGGATCCCCAATCCGGTAGCTTTACTTTCTTGACCCTACCAGTGTCCACCTGGGTATCTGATTGGGTCTCATGTCTCCTGAAGCGCTCGTGATTTAAACAGCATGTCCTGGAGTGAGTGGGAAGGTTGAGAGTGTCTGCTTGAGAATCAACAGTTCAGAGACCCGGGAAGAAAAAAGCCCTGGCGGGAAAGGAGAGCAAGGGTGTGTTATTCCCCTGGGTTTGTTGGCAGAAGAGGAAAGAACGGCAGGAAATGGCTTTGGGATGTGGGTCCATGCCTTCCATGTGGAATGCTTGTGTATCTGTTAGGTCCTGTTTATATGTTTTTATTTCTGCTTCTTAACCTGGAAAAATTGCAACACCTATGCCTCGATTGTTTTCTCATCCGTTAAATGGGACTGTTGGAAAGGTCTGAACAGTGTTTAGACAACACGGGTAGCTTTAAAATCACAGTAAGGAGAAAGGCAATCCAGAAATATCTGCCTTAGCATGCAGTGTATATTCATGTAATATATAATTAATAATATGATCACATACGATGTATAATAATAGAGGTTGTTGTCCATCAATAATGTGTAACGTACAGTATTAACTGTACGTGATTCAGTGCCCTAATTCAAATGTCCTTTCTGATCTTTAGGCCCTCCATATATTTTACTTTATTCTAACGTATTAATAATGTGTATTGATGGCTTAGCTTCCTTTCAATGTATTTAGTGACTTCTGGGCAGAGTCCACAACCTTTATCTTTGTAGTCATAAAACCTAGCGTGATAGGTATTCAGTGACTTGTTATTGGTATTGAATTGCACCAGTGATTTTGATAATGCCAAAGCATGCATACATTAAGTGCAAGTTACTAAAATGGCAAATTCAGCACATACCAAATCAGGTAAGATTAGCATAGCAGAATTTCTTGCTACTCTTGATGACAATAAAGGTATTTGGTACTAGACTCTGTTATGTCACCCCTTGATTATAAGCTCACCGAGAACAAGGAGCCCTTGCTTTCATTCATTTATTTGCATATTTACTTAGTGAATCTGTGAGTGTCGTGTTCCTGTGCACATTATTAGGACAACCTGTCTTTCAGAGGCTTCCCATCTCTCTTTTTAATGATCCAGACATTCACCAGGGCTCTCAGAAAGGATGAGAATGCAGAGCATCCTCCAAAGGGGAACTGGAAACTAGAAGCCCCATCTCACGGTTAGCTTAGCCCCATCTTACCCTTAGCTTGGCCTGGATTATGCTTACACGCTTCGATGCCTTATTGTTCACAAAGCAATTGTGACAGTCGTCATTTCACTGTGATGGCAAGTTGCTGTTGACTTTCAGCATTTGAGGAAGTGGCTAATGAACTTGACCAAGGTCACTCAGCTAGAAGGTGGTGCAGCAAGCTTCTCTCTAATCAGGAGGGAACACTGGAAAGCCTCATCTGAGTCCAGAGGTTGACTTTAGTCAGGTGGAGGAAGCCAGGGTGTTAGGGAAAGGACTTCCTCCCATTTGGGGCCAGCATGAGGCCCAAGGACACACAGGTGTGAAGCTGCACAGCAGGGGAAGAAGTAGCCTACACCTCTGGGGTTCAGACATCCAGTATGGGTTTGGATTTGACCACCCCGGAGGTGGAAGGCGTGTGAGCGGCTGAGTGGCACTGACTTTGGACTTTATTCTAAGAGTCGCAGGGCACTAAAGGTGCTGTATCAGTTAGGTGTGGGTAGTGCCTGTTGGAGGAGAGCAAACAGAGCATCGTATGTTATGTTATTAATCAGTTGGGCAGTGGTGAAGACCGACAAAAACCTGGAGGTCATGTGGACTTAGGCCTCTCCAGTTTTCTTTCCTAAAGCAATTATTATTTGACCAATTATGGCTTATAAATTACTTGTTGTAATCAGCATAGAAAAACAACTCTTTTATTTTCATTTTAGTGTTTTCTGATCCGCTCTTTACAGCATGCAGCCCTGTGGGTGTTCATCTTACAATCTAGAGTGAAAAAACAAAGGCAATCTTCCCGGTGTCCTGTTAAGTTTCCACGTCGCAAAGTCCCGTGTAACTTTACTTGAATGGTTTCCCGAGCTTCTGTGTGTTATAATAATTTTCACACCTTTGGAGAGTTCATCCCCAGTATGTTGGCCTCATCCTTTCTTCAAATAATGGAGCTTAACAATACTGTCCAGCTCTTGGCCTTTGCCGTTGTTTGCTCCCTTATTTACCCTTGGGAAAATGAATGGTGGTAATGAAAGGTTTTTAAAAGAAAAAATTCAACAAGGACATCTTTAGTATGGTAGTAATGTCTGTCTGTTGGCCATTTACATTTCTGTGGCCTATTTTAACCCACTTTTTCTTGGCATTACAGAGAATGAGCTAGCTCTGTCCAACAAAAGAAAGGTTCTTCTGAACTTTATTCACAGACAATATTTGAACCACTTGGGCATCTGCCAACCAAACAGGAAAGAGCATTTGTCTTCTGTAGATAGGACGTGTATATAGATGGGGGGACTAGCTGTAGGACATTTATTTCAGTTTATCATGTCTTTAGATGTTTTTATAACTGCATGTGGACACTGTAGATAAAAACTGGTCAGCGCTGAGTAAAGGCTCGGTGAGCTCCCTTGTTCCCACTGTCACTTCTAAGCTACTTGTTTTGAGAATTATCTGACACGTGAGAATGGTGCTTGGGCACACAGGACTAGGTAACTGCTAACTAGCTGTACATGGACCTCAAGAAGCCGTTCACCCAACCAAGATTAATAATGTTACCTCTGCAGAATTGTGTGCTCCAAGTGTCTTGTTGGCCTTGGCCTCATCAGAGGTGACAAAATATTTGTAAAGAATATTGGCAAGAAAGTGACCAAAGAATTTAGTCCCCCGCTGGTGGGAAGACATCTGGAGCTAGGATGTTCCATGAGCTTAAAATAGTGTAACTGCTATTTCGTGGCGTTGATGTGTGTACAGTGTACACTGGAGAGTGTAGAATTTTTATTCACTGAGCAAATTGCTTAATTGGCCCCTTTTTTCCCTGTGACTGTGTGGTTTCCAGAAACAGCTGCCAGCCACAGGTCCCTCACCCTTCTGGCGCTACTCACAGTGCTAGAGTTCTCAGCCATTTACACTGTCAGGTCTGCTATCTTCGGGGGATGTTAAATTGAAGGGGACATTAGATTCCTGACAAAATAGGATTTTAAAAACTGGAGACTTTCCCTCAAATATGTATTTATTAATTTAGCATAAACGTAACCTATCCAAGTATGAATAGTAATCCTTTATGTGGCGCAGTAGGTATCATGAGAAAATTTAAGAGTCCAAGGGGGTTCCAGGCACTTTTTCTTGTTCAGTTTCTATCTCCAAAACAGGATTGTAAAGGGTTTAGAGACCACCTATAATAGTAATATTATTAATATTAATATGCCTATTTCTGAGAAAGTGCTGAAGAGTTTTCCCCAGTCACCCTTCCCAAATAGTTCAGATTAGAAAGAAGCCATCCATGGGCACACATTTATAGACCCATCCCAGGCTGAGTCTGTTTCCAGTGCTTTGGAAGTCAATGAAGCAAGGCAGGATGCGGTTGGACCTGGCACTCCCCGATCACAGCCCATTCAAGACTTCTATTAGTCTTTGCTATTAGTTTTTAAAAAAAATCTTGTTTTATCATTTATTGGATTACTGGGTTCACCTTGTTTCTGTGTGGCTTGAATGTAATCGTGCATGTTATACCAGTGCTTTATGTAAATGTTGAGGATGGATCTTTGTCCTCTGCCAAGCCCTTCCTCTTTCTTCATGCCCTGTTTTATTATAAAAGACACTCTGTGCTCTTTCCTCTTCCAGAGTTGATTTCCTGGATCTTTTATTTCTCTATCAATGCCTGTGTTTTGTGTTTGGCTGAGGCCTTTTATGTCTGGAACCCTACAGCTGATCCCTTTTTGTAGAGAACAAGAAAAGAGTGGATGTGCTGGCCAAGGCATCCTCTGAAAGTGATAGTTATTAAGGGGAGGCAGAGGCGTGAAGGGAGGGAGCGAAGATTTCACAGGAATCCTGAGGCGGAGATTGCTGACAGAAGAGGTTGAAAGTAGTGCTAAAAGCCTGGGGTGGGAAATCAAATCTAAGGCCTTTATCTTTCCCTGAGCAGGATAGAGTTTAAACCTGTCATCAAGGACAAGCAACAACACTGATGAAAGGTAGAGTCAGACGGTCCTGGCTTTTTTTTGTCATGGTACATTCCTAAAAAGGCAGAAGAAGGGACAGAATGTAATTATTTTATGTAACCTACATTTCTACTTTAAAAAAATATTTTTATTAGATTTACTCATTTCATGTGTGAGTGAGTATTCTGCCTGCAGGTATGTCTCTGAATCGTATCCGTGCTTGGTGCCCATAGAAGTCAGAAGAGGGCATCAGATTCCTCCTAGACCTGAAGTTGCTGATGGGGTGACCTACTACGTGGGTGCTGGGTCTCAAGCCCAGTCCTCTGGAAGAGCAGCCAGCGCTCTTAACCCCTGAGCCATCGCTCCAGCCCCCACTTCTCTTTTAGTATCACATCTTTAAAGGGAATTGTACCCACAGAAAAAAGTTAAATCACTGATAAATAAATGGCCTTTTGGGATGAAAAACACATATAGATGTTTCTAATATGACAAAATTAGGAGACAAGTGAAATTTAAGGTAGGAAAAAGCTGGTATTGACTATGTCAGAGAACTTTGGACAAACAGAAGAAACAATACAATGGCAGCAGCAAATTTCTCTTTT